TTCTCTGCTCTTTTTTTTTTTTTTTTGTCAATTTGCATATTAGCCTTTTATTATGTAGTATGTCTTATGTGTGAATTAGAATTTTGGCAAAATAAAAAATATCCTCACATGAGGTTTAAACAACAACACATAATAATTAATTAAATTAAAACAAAGATACAATTTATGTTAGAATGAGATATAATAGCAAGTTCACGGAAGTCAGATTTGCATGAAATCAAAACATTCTTCTTCACTCCTGGCTCTCTGCCTCCCTGGCCAGCCTGTCTGCCCTCAAAGTCATAGCCAGTCTCTCTCTTGCCTTCTTCACTCTGAGAATCTGTCTCTGGATGTCTCCATGGGTGACCACCTTCTTGCAGAGAAGCTGTAAGCCACAGAGACCTGCTCCTGGGATCTTCTCTGCCCAATGTAACAATTGTGCTGCCCTGGGCTGGGGGCTGGTATGTAGAGACCCAGGACCAGCATGGCCCAGGCATTCACCTACACTTCCTGGTGCAGTTATCCTACATAATAAAAGGTTAATATGAAAATTGTCCCTTTGAACGAGAGTTTGACCAGGGGGTGGGGACTGCTGGCCAACCTCCTGAGTCCCCTCCCCCTAGCCAGCTTGGCCTGATTAGCCCTGATTGGGGTGGGCTGGCTGGACTCCACCTGTGCACGAATTCGTGCACTGGGCTTCTAGTTCTCATCATATTTGTCACATCGAAAGTATTTACAAGTTCTTCCTCACAGCTGCAGGCCTAGAGCCCGTGCAGTCTCCTGTAGGCACTCATCTCCTGGGGCTTCTCCAAGGTCTCCTCCTGCTGCCTGTGCCTGACCATATTGTCAGGATGGGCAGTAACCTTGGTGACTGCACTCTTGAAAATGCAGCTGGTCAGCCTCCTAGGAAGTTCCGACCTATCACTGAGTCTCCACCTGCTCATGGCTAAAACCAGTTGTCTCGTCTTCGCTAAAGTCTGGGGCATCATATTTCTCTGAAGCTTTCCCTTTGAAAACAAAATGAAATGTAAAGTTTGAGTAAAGTGGGGGAAAAAAACTCCCATTGCATTTGGACACTCTGCCCTCCTCTCTTTGGAGAAGTGTCTGCTCATCACAGTCATCTGGAAAGTTGTTGAAACTCAGTTTTGTGGACCTCAAGCCAAGTAGGACTGGGGCATGGCCAAGAATTTGCATTCTTAAGTGTTGCCAGAGGATACTGATGCTGCTAGCACAGGCACCGCACATTAACAACCAGATCCTGGGACATCAAGCTAGTATGAGTCAAGAACAGGAGAATCAAGGTCATTTCCAGACCTGTTTCAATTCCAGACCATTTCATCCACCAACTTCCTCAGAAAATGGTTCCTTGTTTCCATCTTTGTATATGTCCACTACACAGATGCTGATACCCTCTAACGGTAGGTAGAGCCTAACCCAGTGAAGCCATGCGCCTTTCAACCCCCCTGTACCCACTTTCACTTGCACACCCTAGTCCCTTCTTTACTCAGATATTCTTTGCTTCATAATAAACTAAACCCTCAGTTGTGTGGACAATGATTTATCGGACTTAAAAATGTTGGGAAAAAACACTAGCAATTTTAACAACATAAATAAAAATTACATATGTACAACTATAGTCTTCATATTTAAGTCTAACTGTCACTGCTCATCAACAGTGTTGCAGGTGATCACACTGCATCACTCGAGGTAATTGGTCCTGCCGTCTGTGGGGTAACTTTCTGCAGGAGTTTCAATGGATGCAGGCCAGTGTTCCCACTTATGATCTATTGGGTATATATTTAAAATTGCTGTAATACATATAGAAAAGTTTTCTTTGAAATTAAACCTTTATATATACTTAATTTCGATGACATAAATGTCTACGTAAATAAAAACAGGTAGGCTAATTTGTCAAATTTTTCTTTTCTTAAAAAATACGTTTTTGTGGATTTCAGAGAGAGGAAGCGAGAGGGAGAGAGAGTAGAAATGCCAACAATGAGAGAATCATTGATCAGCTGCTTCCTGTATGCTTGCTACAGGGGATCCTTGAGGCCACACCCCGGCCATCTGACCTGATGGGATTTGAACTGTGACCCTCTGGTTCATGAGTTGACATTCAACCACTTAGTCACACTGCCCAGGCTTATTTGTCAAATGTTTAACCTACACATTGGGAAAGCCTACTTTATTATACAACATACTTTCAGCTTTAACAGACACACCCCTTATCCGAATTATTCTGTTATATCCAGTTTTATTGTAACTCAGAAATACCATATTTTTACCATAGTGTCCTTTATTTCAGAAAGACATTCACTGTAAATAACCCACTTAACTCTCCAACTCCTCCCTGTTAATCTCTGCTCTTTCATATGACTTTACAGAATTGATGCTTCTTAGAAGTCAGTCCTGCTCTTACATTTGTTCTACATTCACACACACCCTTTCTGGGCCATCCCATTCATTCCTCTGTCTACAAAAACCATCAATGAACTAGATATGCACATAGAATGGGTATAATCTGCCTTCAACCCTGAGGCTTAGATATCTATCTGCCCATTCATGCATGCAATTACTGCTAGTATCAGTGACTCAACTCACAGAGACCAGATGCAATGTTCAACCAACCAGTTCCCCAAATAATTCAGCACTAAGGGTCCCCTAGTCACTTGTTGGTGCTAATATCCTGTGTAAGCCAGTGCCTTTTTGGACACCCTGTCACTCCACTAGATTAATGCATGTCTGGTACGGTGTTAGGTATAAGAAAGTGATGTGAGAAATAGTAAGACCAAGACACAGACAGAAAAAGGAGAGATGGAGGATGAGAGGTTAGGAGGGATAAAGAAAGAAAATAGCTACAAGTATTGATGACAAAGGGATTAGGGAAGAACTAACAGATTACATGACATTTGAGTACCACCCATCCACTCTTTGGAATCCATGTAAACATTCTCAACTTTTGAATAATTTTTGAGCATCTTTCATATTTCCTGTAAAATGTCATTTACGCAGAGTGGCCTTCTCTGACCCAGCAATAAAAATTAATCTGAGCCCTAACCAGTTTGGCTCAGTGGATAGAGTGTCCTTGGGGTGTGTGTAGGAGGAAACTGAAGGGTCCCAGGTTCGATTCTGGTCAAGGGCATGTACCTTGGTTGTGGGCACATCCCTAATAGGGGGTGTGCAGGAGGCAGCTGATCCGTGTTTGTCTCTCATAGATGTTTCTAACACTCTATCCCTA